TGTGTGTGTGTGTGTGTGTGTAACTTTGTGTGTGTGTGTGAGTGTGTGGGTACCTGTGCATGTGTGAGTGCGTGTGCGTGAGTGTGCATGCGTGCGTGTGTATGTATATGTATATGTGTGTATGTGTTTGTTTTGAAATGGGTTTTTTTTGTAATGATGTCTGTTTGTTTGTTGTCTTTTAGGGAGGGGGTGAATATAAGAAAAATTTAGGCCTTATGAGATTTTTGTACATATTAGTAGGCCTACCTCTAAGTATGGGTGGTGCATGTACCGTGTAAGGCTTTTACATTATGAAGCCCAGTTATAAATTATGTCTTTAGGCTTGATTGTTTTGTAGTACATGTGAGTGTGGAGTGTGCTTATGTTGGCAACATATATATGAATGTGTTGTCTAGTGTGTTACTGCAAGCACATGTTTGTGTGTCCATATGTGTATGTGTGTGCATGTGTGTGTGTGAGTGTGTGTGTGTGTGTTTGTTTGTGTATGTTTGTATGAGAGAGTATGTGTGTGTATGTATGCATGCTTGTGTGGGCCCTGTTTGTATACAAAGTGTGAGTATCTTTGCTTTGACTTTTCCTTTTTCTTGTGGATTGTCCCAGTGCCAAGTACAGTTTCTTAACCTGTTTGTGGTTGATTTTAAAATCCCCCTACTGATGGAGTTAATATTTCTCATGTCAATGTACAGCAGTCCCTTTCACTTTTTAGCTGTTTGGAGGGACATCACCTTGTAGGCTATACACAGTTAAAAGGTCCAATTGTGCTGGGATAACGCACTCAAGCCTTTTCCCATGTATTTAAGGGATGCCCCGCTAGCCCTGCGGACTATCCCTGTTACTTACGAGATGCACTTTATCGATCAATATCTCCGATACTTTTTTGGTTAGCCTACAAGCTGCTGGAAGTGTCAAACGAACAGTGGATCCAATTGTTTTATATCGTTAAAAATTTGGTGAAGTTATGTTCAATACTTTTTGAGCTGTAATGGAATAAGTCACCCCCGCTTTGCGATTGATGATTTTCATTACAAACTGGGTGCAAAATAAAAATAGATAAAATGCGTGACCCCATGACATTGCAATTTCAAGTATTGATAAAATAAAAACTATTTAGACAAATCAGATGCAGTTTTCTATTTATGTGAGAGCATTTCCTTCTTTCTTTTGCTGCTTGTTTTTTAAAAAATTATAATTAGCTTTCACTGCCTTTTTGTGGTTAACGATTCAATATACCCCAACACTGTCAAGCTGCAATGGTTATTGGATGAAAAATAGCTCCAGCCTCAAGTGAGTTAAGCTTGTTGTTAAACAGGAACAACAAATAGCCTAAAGGTTTGAATGCTGTTATAACAAGTTCAAGTTTTATTTTTTCCCTTCATACAATTCTTTCCATAGCCTACAGTTTTCACTATGTTGATTTGAGGCAAAATCTTAAGAATATGTGCTGTCGATATATCTAATGATTTATTTCAATTTATTTTTGTCATGAACAGGTGGGAGGCTTACTGGAAACCTGGACAATAATTGCTGGTTTATATGTGAACAGTAGGGCCTACTTTTTTTTCCTTTTTTGCTGTCTCTGGAATATGTGTGCTCAGCCTGACCTTTTTATATGGTTATGAAGCCATGATCATTCTCATCATCATCAATTTCTTATGGTGGGTAATTGGTGGGTGCTCTGGCTGTGGTTTGCTCCTTCTTTCCTGTCATCCACATCTCTCCTCCTACTTTTCTTTGTCCGTTACTCGCTAGTTTTTGGCACTATTGTGACCTATTTTGGGTTGCAAATGCTGAGAATCTCTTTTTTAAATTAAAAAAAAAATTATTTGTTAACAACTTTGTACATCAAAATGTTTTCGAAATGTTTATAATTTGTTTTCAATTCTGATTGGAAAGTTAGTAAAAAAAAAATAATTTTTAAGACCTTTATAGCTAAGCATAAATATTAGTTTAGAACTCAGACAAATAATTTACAAGCACTAATAACAGGGAAAATTGTTTTATATAGAGCTAGTTGTTAAGTGTAGCATAGGCACACACACTTAAGTGACATAATGTGTACAATACCATCTGTCCTTATTTGTTACTAGTTTTTACTGTCTTACTTCATATTTGAGTACAATTAATACAGGATCGCCCTTCATTGCTCCAAATTCTCTATTGTATCAAGGCTGCAAATTGCAAAATTGTTAATTTACATTGTCTTTATTCCTGCTGACAGGAAAGAAAGACATTTGTTTTGTGGCATTTGCTCATTTCTATTTTTAATTTTTTTTTTGGTGAGGTAAACCATTGGCAAGTATGCCTACTCAACCCTGAGCATATTATATAGGCCTGTATATGGTTCTGCATGATTATTTTTCTCCTCTGTAAACTGCAGCCTGGTCTTCCTGACTACACTCATAGCTGCCAGTTGTAACGTAGCCTACTCAAAAAGCTGTAGACCTAAACTCAGTTTATATCTCTATTAAGCATACTGGCCATAATCTTGCTGTGGTCAGTAGAATGATTTTTTTTTGGTTTAAATTTTGAGTTTTGTAAAAGGATAACCTTTTAAAAGCTTCATTTTATCACATTAATAAGAGCTCTGAAGGAATTCCAGTAGGTAAGAAATGTTGGATTTTTCCCCTTGCTGTCTCACCTATAAGCTTGATACCCCTCAAGGAGGGGAAACTGTCAGCTATCAGTATCTTTCACTTGAAATGTATGTCTTAGAACCTGGGCTGAAAGTCATTGGCTATAGCAAATCTGCCCACCTCTTAAATGAAATTAACTAGATCTTAGGTATAGAGGGACATTGAAGTGTGGCAAAATCAAATTTTCCTTTTCTCTCTGTTTAGTTTTTCAATACTGTTTTCAAGTGTGCATATCAACGTTAATGTAAGTACTTATTGATCTGAAAATAGCCTGAAATTAATAGTCAAAAATAGTTGTATTGTATCATTCGGAAAATTATGTCTCTTTTAGTTCATGTTTTAAAAAAAAACAGGTGCATATTATGTAATACAAAAGACAATATTGTCAGTGTTGTTGGGTTTTCTTTGTCTTAAAGCAGGTTCATTGTCTTGGTGCTGAGTGGGAGGACTATCTCCCCTGTCTATATTTTTATACAAATGATGCAAACTTTTATCATAATATTATTATCTACTATCAGCCCTTGAAAAGTTTTTTTATTTTTTTATTTGGTATTTTAATCTCTCTCTTAAAACTGTAGAG